TGGATTTTTATGAAAGAAATAAAAGACGTTCCACTTGTTTCCCTTTTTTAAATGATTTCTGGCTTAATCCTTGTGTCTGGAGACGTTTCCGAGTTCTCTCTCTGCTCATATTCATGGCTGAGCTGTTTCCATAAAGGTGCAGGAATTTATACTGTCGTAATAAAGAGCTTACAGTCACATAGACTTTTACAAAAAAGAAGAACTAGAAACGTGAAAGCTCAATGTGAAGCAGATCTCGCTGCAGCGTTCTGTTGGATTCAGTCCCCAGGTGTTCCTAATAAAGCGGCCGACCAGCGCGCATGCATCATAATTAAGTGGGACTTGTGGCGAAAGCCTGAAACGGCGAGCTGGAGGTTTGTAATAAAAGGAACCGGTCAGTTGTGAACGTCTCCATGAGGAAACCACCACTTTACATACTGGCAGCTGCTGGTCTGTGGCTTCCCAACACCTGACTTCAGCTGTTTGCTGCTGCTGCTCACAAAGAAATCTGCATCAATCAACCAAAGCCCGGCGCTGAAAACAGTGTTTAGCCGCCGGAGGGAGGTGGAGGATGTTCCCTCGGTGACCTTTCAGCACCACCTGCACACCTGAACAGACCCGGAGGGAACCTGAAAGGGATCCCTGTAATTAATCCATCAAGAAAGAGGCTGGATGTTCTCACCTGCACGGTCTTCTTGATGCGCTGGGAGGGTCCAGGGTAGTCCTTGGAGTACAGGTCGGTCAGGAACAGGGAGTTGATCAGCGTCGACTTCCCGAGACCGGACTCACCTGAGACACAAACACACAAGAAGGTGAATTTAAAGCAGGAATGGACTCGTGTTCTGCAGCCTACAGCAGGACAGAGTACAGCCTGTTCAGCATCGCTTCATGACTTAACGTCTTCTCTCGATAACCGCGTTCCTCAAACAGCCTTTCCACATACGGAAGATCACAGTGAAGATACAGGCCATCGATCCACCTGTGAGCACTGACACTAAGCTGTGGTTTCCATCAGTCTACCTGCATGAACGTGGTTCTAAAAGGAGCCAAGAGCAGCAGAACCTTCTCAGTTCTGGACCTCTGGACTGTGTCTATCTATGTCTGCATCATGGCTCCACATGGAGAAGACCTGAACAGAGGAGAAGGAACATCTGATGCTCAGAATGGCTGGAAATGGCTTGAAATGTGTTCAAAACAAGTAAAAAAAAAAAAAAATAGATCTAAATGGCTCAGAATGTGTTCAGAATGACTAACATGTGTCCCCACGATTTACCCAGAATGACAGGATTTGTTCAAAACAAATAGAAATGGTCCTAAATGACTCAAAATGTTCCTGAAATGACTCTAAACTTACCCAGAATTAGTCAAAAACAAGTAAACATGGTCCAGAGTGACTTTAAATGACTTTAAATTTGATCTAAAATGACCTGACGTGGAGAAGACCTGAACAGAGGAGGAGAAACATCTGACTGAGAGACTGGACAAAGATGGAAAAGGATCCAGAAGATCAGTGAGCAGCTAGAACCCAGTGCAGCCCAGTGTGAGCAGGAACCAGGAGGTCCAGAAGGAGCCACAGCAGCACTGATCAGGGCTGCAGTGGTCGTCCTCCTACAACGACTCCACGGACAGTCAACTACTGTCACTATGGAGCTGTGGACACCAGACAAAGGCAGCTGCTTCAGACTTGGCACAGGGCTGATCAATGGAGACCAGAGTTAGTGTGAAGCTCACACAGTGTGAAGGACACTTCAGAACATCAGCCTCTATGGACGGAGGAGCAGAACTAAACCTGGCTGCTGCTCACAGCTAAACTTCCACATCAAAGTTCACCAGAGAACATGAACAGAAGCCTGATGGATGCTGGAGAACATCCTCTGGTCAGATGGAGATCAATGTGTTGGGCTCACATGGAGTCCAGATGTTTGGTGTGAACCTGACCAGGACCACCACAGTGGATGCATGGTCCTCACAGTGAAGCTTGTGTGTTTCTTCACCAGTTTCTCCACAGGAAGAACTGGGACCAGGATGTTATGCTAGATCTTTTTCTGGAGAATGGGAGAACATCTCTTCAGGCCTCCTCCAGACCCAGATACAGCACACTGCAGACAGACTGCTGTGATTCCTGTATCTCTACTACTTTTAACCGTACAAGTGCTGCACTTCCTGTCAGCTGGTGCGGCTCTGAACCATCTGACATTGATGGACTGCTCTCACTAATGCAGTCCTTCAGAAACACACAAAGCATGAGCGTGATGGCGTGCACGAGCTTCCAGCGCCTGGAGGGGAAACAGCTCAGAAAGTAAAGCAGCTTCACGGTGTGTGAGTTAAAAGGTCAGCAGCTCGTCTGGCAGCATGGAAAGCCTTCACATGGAGGGATAGAACATTTCCTCTCCTCCTCCGTCCCTCTCGCTTCCTGGATGTATAAATCTTCCTCCTCGGTCCGCTCGGTGCCAACTTTCCACTCGCTGCTGATGCTGGCGGCACAGAAGCTGCACAAACAGCGTTGACGAACGTACGCGTCGTGATTAACGGCGCAGCATCTGGCTCGTGTCTCGTCAAGAGGCTTCAGAGGAGCGTTTGGTCGGAGGGGAGGAGGGCTGCCTGTCCCGGAAAGACCCCGACCCGCTCAGACACGACCCGACGTCCACCCGGCAGAGGTTCAGGATCACGTGTCTGGAGTCTCTATAGCACAACACATGGACTCCACATGAAACTTGAGTCTGTTTGAACAATATCTGTGGAATGATTTCAGACAAACACCTGGAATGTTCTCTGTTGTTTCTCATCATGTCATCGATTCACCGTCTGCAATATTAGACAGGTAGATCGAATCATCTCTAAGTAAGGGAGAAATGTGAAGAAATAACCGACGTGGTCATTAAAAGTGGCGTCTCTGAGCAAGAAGAGACGTCAGCGAGTGAGAGTTTCTGAACCAGAACACATGATGAGTTGATGTTTGTTCACCACAACAGATTCTGAGTCACGATGAGAAATAACAGAAAACATTTCAGGTGTTTGTCTTCAACAGTTCACACACAATATTATAAATGTTGATATTTTATGCAACAAACATGTGAGTCAAATCAGAGACGGTCGAGCAGAAATCATCCTGAAAACACAAGCAGGTGAAATCGTGTGATTCTAGGTGAGTTAAATACAGAAACACAGACTGAAGCCGCCGTGAAAACGTCCATCTTTGAGCCCAAATGAACATAAAACTGATGAAGCAGAATCAACACGTGCAGCTGCAGGTCTCAGCAACACAAACTAAATCACCTGTAATATGAAATACAGGAGACTTTGGTTGAACTTTCAGACCTGATTGAGCAGATTTGACAAGTCGAACCACAAAAACTAACACAGAGCCCACATCGTTCTAACTCTGGTTTACTCCACCGGCTGTGTTTCCTGTTGACGCTACCTTTGCATCGACGAGCCTCCTGATCCAACACTCAGTGACCTGCACTGGGAAATAAAACCAGCCTGGACCTTGCAGCAGCGACAGTTTGCCGAATCAGAAGAGATTTTTCAAAGCTGCAAACGAGCAGAAACTCAGTCTGACGGCTCAGAAACATGTGCAGAGCAGCGCCGGCCCGAGTGCAGCCCGGGAGCACCGAGCTGGAGGTCTTCCATTTCAAAATGACGATCAGATGTGGCTCCAGTAATTCTAGATTGATGAGAATTTGTGCAGAAGCCCAGCAGCAGAGCCTGGTGTAGGCCCTGAGGTTAGCGCCGAGCACAGCGCCGCCTCCAACTAACTCACTTTGTGCTTTGAAAGGCTGCTGGAGCGTTTTCAGAGGCAGCGTAACGCTTCCACGGCTGCAAACTCTGAACCGACTCCGGTAAAGACTGAACCGACTCTGGGTGTTGTCTTCTACTCCTCATGTTCCTTCACTGAGGTTCATGTTTCACTAAAGTCCTGCAGCTCTGAGGAACCAGAACCACATGAAGGAGCAGGAGACAGAACTCAGAGACGTCTGCAGTTAGGATGATGGAAATCATAAAAAAACAACTCTGGAATCAACATCTGTCCACTGGAGCCACAAACACGATAAAAGAGACACTAGACATGTTTAAAACCTGATTTATTAACATCACTCGTCTCTGCCTGTCGGTCAGTCGTTTCATCTGCACCGAGGATCAAGAGTTTTTAGTTTTGTACAGAATCTGGTTATTGCAAATGACAAATAATAATGTCTCATTTTTCTGCTTTTTTGTTTTTACCAACATGCAGAATAACATGGAGCAGTGAGAGCGCCAAATTACAAAATAAATCAGAAAAAACTTGAAGAATAACTTCAGGAACTGTTAACGGACCGTCGGAGAGCTTCAGATCTGACTTTTCTCTCCGTTTCTACAGATTCCAGCTTCGATAAACGCTGTCATCGTGGTGATATTTTAAAGACAACACGACTGCTGGCCTCGGCTCCGTCAGTCGAGGCTCCTTTGGTCCGTTCTTCATGAATCTGGAGCAAATAGTTCACGTTTTAACACGTGACATTGAAAGCAGAGTAAAAATCACAATGTTGAGCTTTGATTTGATTTATTTCTGATGAAGCACGTGATTAGTTTGGTGACTGAAGGGAACCCGGTCATCCTTCCTGTCCTGACAGCGTGCGGCTGATGAACGGTGTTGTTTTGGTGGGTTTTTAAAGCCTTCCAGAGCCGCCGGCAGGTTTTTTTGTGGCTCTAAATCAGCCACCTGCTGCAGCTGAACATCTGTGGATCCCATCGGTCCAGGCCGACCCGGTGCGACGCCCCGGTGGACTCCGGTCTTCACCCCTCCTTAACCCCTGATGAGCCCCCTGAGCGAGTGTTTGCTCAGCTCTGGATCATCTTCTGTCCCTGTGCGACCTCTGAAGCCACTTTGTGTCTCCGGCGGCCGTTTGATGGATGTTTGGAGGTCAGGCTCACAAACACAATGAGACAGCGCAGATGGAGGAGATCCTCCTGCTCACGGCTCTGCTCTGCCGTTAGCATGGCGTTAGCCGCTGACGCTATCTGGACCAAAACAAACACTGAAGGCTCTTTAACAGCTGTTGGAAAGGAACCAGAACATCTGAAACTGTTAAACTGTGGCTCGCTGAGGATCTGCACAAAGGATCCCTTCAATAAAATAACAACTAAATAAAAATATAAAAGGTGCACATGCATCAGACACACAGCAGCGATGTCTGAGGGGACGAGTCCAGTTTAGTTTAAACTTGCACAGAATTCTTTCCACAAAGTCGATGGAACCATAAAGAAGGAGGATCACCTCCATGTTGTTCAGGAGAACCTGAAACCATCAGCAGAAGGTTGATCTTGGACACAGTTGGATGTTCCAACCAGACAATGAGCCCAAACACACATCAAAGTGGTGAAGAAATGGTTCCATCAGGCTGGAATGAAGGTTCTAGACTGGTCTCCCCAAAGTCCTGACTGGAACCATCCAGAACCTGTGGACTGATGAAGGAACAAGTCTGAGCCAGAAAGACGACGAGTTTAGTTGAACTGCAGCGATTCTGTCCAGAGGAGTCAGAGATGGACCAGAAGCTGGTGGACGGAACCAGAAGAACCCGACTGAGGAGAACATGGACGTCTAACCAGATGTTAACATTTCTGTATGTTTATTTATGACCCATCAGGTTTCATCACATCTCCAGAAGACCTTTAATAAATCTGAGTCACTGGAAACTCCAGACTGATGATCCACATGGTCTGCATGTTAACCTTTGCTGGGAAACACCAGACCAGCTAGCTGCTGCTGCTTTGAGATGATCAGCAGTTAAACTGAGCCACGACTTGAA